GAAGAAGAAGAAGAAGAAGAAGAAGAAGAAGAAGAAGAAGAAGAAGAGGAAGAAGAAGAAGAAGAATTGTTATATGACATGGAAACTGCTAAGATCCTCAATCCTTCGGGCACCTTCTCTTATTGAGTTCAACCAAGGCAGCATTAACCTGGCAAGGAAGGACAACTAGCTCGGGTTTCCTGACTGGGGTTCCTTGTGTTTGTGAATCTGATCCCGGCCATCATCCATGTCTCGACTGCATTTACACCAATGGCTGTCATCTTTCCTTGCATCACCTAATCACTTGGGTGGTCCTTTTTGTCCCTTCTAGGGTGGTAGCCTGGAAACAAGGAGGCTGTGAGTTCTAGTCCTGCCTTAGCTAGAAAAGCCAGCTGGGTGACTGTGAGCCAATCACTAAGAGACTATGAGTTCTAGTCCTGCCTTAGGCAGGAAAGCCAGCTGGGTGACTGAGAGTTCTTTGAGCTAATCACCAGGAGACTGAGAGTTCTAATCCCGCTTTAGGTATGAAAGCCAGCTGAGTGACTTTGGGCCAATTACCAGATTTGTGAGTTCTAATCCTGCCTTAGGCAAGAAAGCTGGCTGGGTGACTTTTCTCAGCCCAACCCACCTCACAAGGAGGAAGGAGTATAATGTATGCTTGCCAGCTTGAGTTACTTCTAAAACAGGGGTCTTCAAACTTGACAGCTTTAAGACTTGTGGACTTCAACTCCCAGAATTCCTCCTCCAGTCATGTTAGCTCAGGAATTCTGGGAGTTGAAGTCCACAAGTCTTAAACTTGCCTAGTTTGAGTACCCTTGTAAGTAATAAAAGCAGGCTAAAATTCTAGTAAATGAACAAATAAGGGTCACAACTGCAATTGCTTATCAAAATTCATTCACCAGATCGACCATTTTGAATTTCTTCCTGAATTATTTCAAGATGGAAATAGCTGTTTTCTGAAGGGTAGCCGTGCATCTATTTTGCAGAATCGCCAGGTGCTACAAGTTTAAGCAATACTACGATAGCAGCTTTAGCTATTATTCTCTTCCATCTCCCCCATTTCCACTCACAAATACCACAAATACCAGTTGCACACACACACACACACACATATATATATATATTTTCCATAAAGGAAGCCAAGGACGGTCGCTTGCAATGCAGTGGAGAACGTTGATCAGTTAATGGCTGTTTTGCAAACATTCTTTTATTATCTTTATGAAAGCACTGCCTGGTTGACCTCAAAGGAAAACTGGGTGTTTTTTTGGGGCTGGGCATGTCTTTAAAAAAATGCTTCAGGAGACCTCACACAAACTCTGTGGCTGGAAAAAAAAATATTTTTTTTGTCTCTGTTTGGAAGATCCAACTAATGTTTGTGCATGCCACTCCCCTCCCCCCCCCACTCCCAAGTTTGCACAGAAGCTTGAACAAAAAGCACCAATGGTTTTAGAGGATAATTTTGCTCAGGTCAGCACTTCTGGGAAACCCTTTCACCACCCACGTTAAGGGTCGATGAAATTGTCTTGCATTAAAACGGGTTTTTATTCCAATTACCAGGCCTGCATTTCTCAGGGATTAAAAAAAAAAAAAAACACCATGGAAGAACAATCCTGAAACGTTTTAAACTTGAAAAGGAATTCTACAACGCCAAAGCCAAACCTCTGGATTCTCCAAAGGGGAAAAATGTGGCTAGCCTTGGAATGCAAAGAATTTGAAATGTCCAGTTTTGAAAAAGCTCAGCCTAAAGCAAAATTTTGGCTGCTCGTAGCTGGACCAGAGCTGCAGAAACCCAACTAGGAAAAAAAAATCTCTGTATCATTGGGCAGCCTGTGATGTTTCTCTGTGTTCTAGATGTGTCTGTATGTGGGTATATGCAGAATGGTTATCTATTGAGAGCTGAATGCAATGAAATTTTATTTTAATGTATGCTTAGTTACATTTAAAGTGAGAAAGCTATTCTATTCTATTCCATCCCATTCTATTTTATTCTATTCTATCCTATTCTATCCTAATCCTAATTCCCAAAGGTAAACGTTCCCCTCACACATGCTAGTCGTTTCCAGCTCTAGGGGGCCGTGCTCATCTCCATTATAAAACCGAAGAGCCAGTGCTGTCCGAAGACGTCTCCATGGTCATGTGGCTGGCATGACTAAATGCCGAAGGTGCACGGAACTCTGTTACCTTCCCACCAAAGGGGTCCCTTCTTTTTCTACTTGCATTTTTATATGCTTTTGAACTGCTAGGTTGGCAGAAGCTGGGATAAGTGATGGGAGCTCCCTCCGTTATACGGCACTAGGAATTCAACCCGCCAAACTGCTGACCTTTCTGATCGGCAAGCTCAGCGTCTTAGCCACAGAGCCACCATGTCCCTTTTAATAATCTTTTAATGATTTCTCATGCAGTGTTTTTCAATCTTGGGAAGTTTAAGAAAGCTGGGCCAAGTCCACCCATCTTAAACTTCCCAAGTGTCAACCCTGTAGCTGGCCCGACCTAAGCCATTTCGAGGCTTCAGTCTTGTCACACTGGAGTTGAGGGATAGGGAGGGGAGAATAGAAATACCTGGGGGTTTGTAGTGAAAACAAAATACTTTCCCCTGGGAACCAAGGACATTCCCACAGATGGTCACAGAGGGGAGGAATGATGTTACCAGGCAACCAGACAGCACCTTGATTGGACCACGTGACTGAGTGTTTGGGAAAAACCTTCACTTTTAATTAGATGAAACCGCGGGAACATTCAGAGTCGGTTTTCACCAACTTGAGCCAATATGATATATCCAATAAACTATTATTTGAGGAACCTACCCACCTCAGAATTCTGTTTTGCTATGGGCATAGTACTTGGAACCCTGACACCAAGGATGAAAAAAATACTGTATTCTGAAGAGGAGAGGGCGATGTTTAATCCTTGGTCTACATGCCTTGATTTGTTTTGATCTAGCATAACTTAACAGGAACCCAAGCTGAACTCTCAAGATACATTATTTAATGTTCTGCCCTCTCTCTACAACAGGAGCTTCTTATGAAATTACGCTCTCCATCCTCCCAATAAGCCTTAAGAAGCAGCTGCATCCACGGGTGGGATTCAAACATCCCAGCAACCGGTTCGCTACCCGGTTGCTGGGCGGGCATGGCCATGGTGGCTGTGGCCTACCAGAACTTCCAGGAGGGCTGTTTTTCACCTTCTCCAGGGTCCGGAGGCTTCTCTCGGGCCTCTGGGAGGGTGAAAACGGCCTCCCCCGGGGTCCGGAGGCCCTCTGGAAGCCGGAAACAGGCCCATTTCCGGACTTCTGGAAGACCCATTTTCCCTCCATCCAGTTTGCCCAAACTGGTCCAAATGGGCTGAATCCCACCCCCTGGCTGCATCTCTCTATGAACCTGAGAGGCTCTTGATGATTTTTACCTGTGTAGAAATTCGAAGTACTTTCATTTGATTCGAAGATGTCTTTGTTCTGTGAATCAAAGCGAAGCCATAGTCCAATGCCGAGGACAGCTGTGCCAGCAAGCTGTGGAGAAGCGAAGACAGAGAGATTCCGTGGTTGAGGTGGCTTGAATTCCCCACTCAGGACAGCCATCAGGTCTACCCGGTTCAACCCACCCTTAACCTTCAGTTCTGCGTGTCTGGGCATGAGCCTCCACGAAGGGAATTCTTCAGGAAAGGTCTTTAGGAGCTGCTAAAGGAAACCCGTGGGATGGAAACCATGCCCTTCCCCTGCTAATTGAGGGCAAAAATGGCTTTGGGGATCCTATCCTAAAGGATGCACACAACCCCAGCTTTGTCCACCATGTTCTGACCCAACTCCTCAAACACGACAAAATCCTCTGAAGTGAACTCAAAGATTCCTTTATTAGGAGCACCAACAGCCCCCGGCAAAAAGTTTCTCTCTCAACGTAGGCTAACAAATCTGTCCAGCAGGGAGATGAATAGTTGTCTGCCACATCTGTTCACCTCTGGTTCCTGCCTTTTATCCCCAGAGCTAGGATAGGGCTTCGCTAGCAGCAGTAGCTCTTCCATCCCAAGGACCGGCCCATAGATTTCCACTGCTCTCCTCTCCTCTGCAGTCTGTGCACCTATTTGTCAGGCACTGGACCCAGCTGTTCCTCCTCTTCCTCATCAGCTACCTCCAGACCTGGGGGCTGTTGACTCTCCATCTGAGGGCTGACAGACGGCCCAGGCTCCGCCTCTCTCTCTCTCTCTCTGCCAGCTCCATTCCCTCTTCCCTCTCGGAGCTCTCAGGTTGCCTTGATGTCAACCCTGACTTCCATGCCTCCTCCTCCTCCTCTGATTTGGCTGCTGGAGGACCTGGTGGCCAAGAGGCCACAACACACCAACTGTCACATCCTAAGCATCATTCTCCCTCTGGCAACCCTGAATCACCCACTCCGCCCAGTTCAGAAGCAGATAGGAAGAAAGATGGTTAGAAGTGGAGGAACATTAAAAACGGACCCAACGGAGGCCAAACGAAGAGGAGCAACGGAAGCAAGGAAGTGTCGTTATTGTGTTGCATCTGCAAAATGAGCCAGTGTTTCACCCCACACGATCTGTCTTTCACAAGGAGGATGGGAAGGGGGAATCACAACAGCTGATGGCTCAGCCGAGGAATCTACATCGACCTTGGTAGACAAACTGCATTGTATCTGCCTTTTGCAGTTTTGTCGTGAGGGATTCTTTTCAGTTTCTCAGGAACACGGTGAGGCCCTTTGGAGGGATCAGAGCCAACTATGTGCTTCCTGAGCTGTGCCTTTGGGAGTCAATGTTACAAAAGGGGGAAAAAAACCTGGAACTTGGACCTAGTGAAGCACTTAGTTTTTTGATAACAGACTATTTATACAGTTTTTGCAGTTACCTGGGAGTCTCCCCCTGACACCTGGAGGTGTTTTAATGCTTGCACCCAGATCAACTACAGTTCCACGTGGATGACAAAAAGTCTGGCTATTCCATTACTGAGAACGTCTGCCCCTCCGATTCTGAACCCCTCCAGCAGTTTTTGACAGTTTTAAGTCAATTTCACAACCTTCCTAGTTTATTTTTCCCAGCCTAGGCAAGCAAGGACACCCCCTGCAAATCTTGCCTAACCAGCCCATCGTTGGAAGTAACATCATTGTTTCCCTGCCAATTTCCACACCGCAGTCTGGAGCTATAGTCACAACAGTTGGGAAAGCATGTGACGATTACAACAATGGGTCATGCCATCATTGCTGATTTCAAAAGAAGAGGAACGCAGAAGTAAGTCCGTGTAATAACAGGTTAGGGAAATACAATTCATTGGATTCAGCGAGGCTTGAAAGGCCCCTGGTGATGCAGAACGGTTAAAATTCAGCATGGCAGGCTAACTCTGCCCACCGCCAGGGGTTCAATTCTGATGGGGCCTCCCATCCGTCCGAGGTCAGTAAAATGAGGACCCAGATTGTTGGGACGGGCAACAGGCTGACTCTGTCAACTGCTTAGAGAGGGCTGGAAAGCAGCATATAAATCTACGTGCTATTGCTATTGCTACTTCAAGTTAGCACTATTCATGTGTTGCTGGCATTTCTATCCTGCCTTGAAGCACTGTTTGGAGGAGGTGGATCAGTGGTGAAATGCTACCGGTTGGCCGACCAACCGGTAGCACAAAAAAGCTCTGACGACCAGCTGAGAGGAGAAAGAAAAGCACAGGACCTGCCCCCTGCGCTTTTCTCTTCTTTATCCTCTCAACTGATCAGTGCAGCCGAGCCTCAGCTGGTGTTTGGAAAGCTGTGCGTGTGCATGTTAGGTGTGCGCATGCATGCACACGTGAAGGGCGCAATCATCAAATCGGTAGGGAAACTGGTAGAATCCCACCACTGGGGTGTATCATCCCTTAATTGTACCCACTCCTCCCCACAAACAAGCCCCCAAAGACATTGAGAGATAGGTGGGCTGAAATGATAATTAAATCACAGATTGGTGGTTGAATGGGGGGGCGGGGGCTTGAACCCGAGTCTCTTCACCCCCCTTCACGGCTCAGCAAAAGCTAAGGGGTGCATTTTGAAATCCAAGGGAATCTGGGAACCCCAATTAAGAGAAGTTAAGAACCAGGATGGGACCAGAAGCCAGTTAGAAAATAACCACAGTTTGTAGAGGAGGAGGGGAAGAGGAAGCACTGCAAAACAGGGCAATTAAGTCAATGATTTATACGCTGTCATGATAAGGAAGAACACAGAGGGACATAAAAGAGCTTTCAGGACATTTGCTTTGCGTTGCATTGGTAGAGCAATGGTAAGCTGCGGCCGGAGTTGCCAAAATTAAACAATAATTAAAATGAAGTTTAAACTTGGAAAACAATAGCAGTGGAAGAGTGTTCTCTTGTCTCCATGAGGAACAAAAAAATATTACATTTTTCTATGACCTCTGCTACCAACAGAGAACAGCATGAGATAGTGGGAAGAGGGAAGGGGTGCCCATTGTCACAATTTCAGAGGTCCGCTAACAACACATAATGCCCACATGTGCAAATGCATCTTCCCTATGCAGAGATAGATGAGGAGGAGTTGTAGTTTAAATTCAACCAAGGTTTACCAATACACACTTACAAAGGAGCTCAGTGTGAAGCTGAACATTCAAGACAAGTGATACATCCCTCAAAAGACACTTCCCAGAACTTGGGGAATCTCTGGATGTTTGGTCACAATTCCCACCATTGCAAACCATCATGGTCTGACTAACCAGAGCCAATGGAAGTTTTCACCCATCAACCAACATAATCCAGTCGGTCGTTCTGTAGTTCTTTTACTAAACCAAAGTTGGCTCAACATTTAGGTGTCTATTGAGAATCTCCACCTGACATACTGTCCATGCAGGGTGTTTTTCCCCATAATTGTTGGGACTCTGATAATTCCCAGCCATCATAGTTAATTTTTAAGCAAAGGGTTCCTCTCACACATACATGCTAGTTGTTTCTGGCTCTAGGGGCGGTGCTCATCTCTGTTTCAAAGCCGAAGAGCCAGTGCTGTCTGAAAACGTCTCCATGGTCATGTGGCCGGCATGACTAAACACCAAAGATGGCGCATGAAACGCTGTTCCCTTCCCACCAAAGGGGTCCCTATTTCTCTACTTACATTTTTACATGCTTTTGAACTGCTAGGTTGGCAGAAGCTGGGACAAGTAACGGGAGCTCACTCCGTTATGTGGCGTTAGGGATTCGAACTGCCAAACTGCTGGCCTTTCTGATCACCAAGCTCAGCGTCTTAGCCACTGAGCTGCCACGTCCCTATAGTTAATTTTAGACATATGTAAATTGGTTCCGTCCAATGCAGCATGTAAGTTAGCAATGAGGATTCACCTTATAACTATTTGAGGTTCAACAAATTCCATAATCTGCAGTTAAATCCCATTTTTTGTCAGACGCACTCAAACCCAGCCCACATTACAGTGTGGTTAGCGCACTTTAAAGTCTTGAATGTCTCCATGCTGGCTCAGGAATTCTGGGAGTTGAAGTCCACAAGTCATAAAGGGCCTAGAGTTCTCTACCTCTTATCTACATCAACTCAGCCTCCACTCCCAATGGATGTCAAAACCAGTCCATCTGGAGAGAGAAAAAATCCAGCCTCACAACGTGGCAATAGGCCCCATCCAGTCGTGGGCTGTTGCTGGTTTGGACCAGTTCTAGTGAACTGGTATGAACAATGATCAGCTGGCCCTGCCCACCCTATCCTGTCTTACATTTCCTTCTTTTGCAGCTCAGCTGAGTCACGCGACAGAGTGGATTTATTTATTTGTTTGTTTGTTTGTTTGTTATTGCTGCCTATTCGCCCATGGCGACTCGAGGCAGCTTACACAATGTAAAACCATATTTAAAATAAAAATAAAAAGCAATAAAAACTAACAAAGAGAAACAAATAAATTAATAAAGCACAATGGAACAAAATCTGGAAAAAATAAAAAATCACCCCCCAACTCCCACCCCAACACCTGGATGACAGCAGATCACATTAGCCATTTGATGGGCTCCATCCCGCTCTGGGTTCCTCAGGCCCGCTGGCAGAACCAGGTCTTCAGCACCTTCCAGAAGAGTGCAAGAGTGGGGGCCATTCTAATCTTTGAGGGGAATGATATTCCATAGAGAGGGAGCCACCACAGAGAAGGCCCTTCTTCTGAGTCCCACCGGGTGTATCTCCCTCAGGGATGGGACCTGCAGCATTCCCTGCCTCCCTGCTCTGATGGGTCAGGTAGATGTGACCGGCAAGAGATGTTCCCTCAGATAACCCGGTCCCAAGCCATGAAGGCCTTTAAAGGTGACAACCAGCACCTTAAATTGCACCTGGAAGCAAATTGGCAACCCATGCAGCTCCCTCAGGAGAGGTGACACATGTGAACACTGCACCTCAGCTGTTCTACTCACTGGGGAAGCCTAGAAGGTGAGCTGGAGAGGTTCAAGTGGGTGCTTGTTGAATGCTGCCCATCCCTTTAGAGAAGTGGTCCCCAACCCTTTTTGTGCCGCGGCCCAGTACCGGCATCACAAAATCATCCGCGGCCCGGTACCGGCAT